TACTATTACTATTACTATTACTATTACTATTACTATTACTATTACTGTTACTGTTACTGTTACTGTTACTATTACTGTTACTGTTACTATTACTATTACTGTTACTGTTACTATTACTATTACTGTTACTCTTACTGTTACTCTTACTATTATTATTACTATTACTGTTACTGTTACTATTACTATTACTATTACTATTACTATTACTGTTACTATTACTATTACTGTTACTGTTACTATTACTATTACTATTACTATTATTACTGTTACTATTACTATTACTGTTACTATTACTATTACTATTACTATTATTATTACTATTATCATCATCATCATCATCATTATCGTTATTATCAGCTTATCATGGTTAACAATACTAGCTGGTTAATTCACAAGAATAGGGGAATCCTTGTTTACAATATTTGCCTCATTAGCATAAGCAATTCAGTTTCTGATGGAGCTACATGTACAAATAAATCAGTTCTGAATATTGAAAGGCAAAAGTACAATTAACTCTGCCAATGAATATGAGCCTGATGTATTGAATACTTGTTGTGCAACACGGGTTTAAAAACTCAAAATTTTACAAAGAATGTATGAGCTCATTAGCGCTTTTACCACCCAGAAATTTTGCAGTTTTTGAAAGCCAATATCTCCTTGAATATTATACCCAAAAGGCAAAAAATTTCACCAGGGATTAAGTTTCACTAGCTCTTTAGCTGCTTGGAGTCAATTCATATCTAACATGTTTCCTTCTGTAAGCAAAGCGGTATGGAAATGAGCAAAACTATAAACAATGACGTCAGCATGAATCCCCCTATAGCCAAGGAGTTTAATTGAACTCAACCAAGAGCAGTCGTTGTAATTGAGTACTAGCAGGTGGGACAACTAGCATTAAACTGTAACCATGCAGCTATACTCGGGTTCAATCTGCTGCCCTGAGGTCTGCCCTGTGCTGTAGTTGTACTGAAGTTGTTTGAGAGTCACCAGTTACACCAGATACACAATAGCTACATTCATACACTGACGCCACCATTCACTATCAGTGCACCACTGTAGTAATTACAGTTGTGGCATTGTCACTGCTACTGTTGCACATGACACTGAAAGACATACAATCCTCATTTCAGCATAATGAGGGACATGTATAAACTACGGGACACCCAAAAATGTTTAATTTTGCAGGGGTTTCATTCAAGGCTGGGCCATCTAGAGAAAAGCTTCTCTCATAAAGAAGTTTAATTCAAGAAATTTTGCCCGCCAGTGAAAACCAAGAGAACAAACCTTTTCCCTACAAGCATGATTTGCCCTACCCCTACTTCCCATATTTGCACCCCCCCTTCCAATGTTGTAACCACACGTTTGAATCATTCTGTTGTTTGTAAATTTGCAGAAATCTATTTTGCCATGAGGAGTTCATCATAAAAAAAATGTGTTATGTATGTTCAGTTGAAGTCTTCATGTCATAGCGTGCATTTATGTCTTGACCCTTACGTTATTGCCGTGTTGGCCAAAGGCTTGGTGTTTTATTGATGAAAACAATAAACCCTCCGACACTAGAAAACACCTGTTTATTTCAAGGAGGATCATTTAGGTTACTATTTCCTGTCATTATTAATCTGTCATCTGACAGTTTTTCTGATGGTATTTCACATTCTACTTCATTCTGAAGCCCTCTACAAATATTCAGAAACTTGCACTGAACACCACATGTAACTGGGGACTGTAAATTGACATAAACTCTTAGTGAGTGCTGTACATCCTCAAGCCAAACTGATAGTAACATATGGTGTGTAGGCATTAAAAGAGAGTCTAAAGTAATTCCGTAATACATTAGAGGTTATGTCATTAGGTCCTAAGGATTTCCAATGTTCTTCACTGTCTTTACTTTTTGTTTCCCTGAGCCTTTTGAAGTGGACTTCTCTTGCTTGAGCAACCTTTAGAACAACAAACTATTATTAGTAGAGAAAAGAGTTCAGCACTGTTGTTACACCCTGATTTTAAAATCTAAATTTTGTCAACTTTGTGACATAGTTTTTGCTGGTTTAACTTTGTGACATAGGATAACCTCTTCCAGGCGTTCAGTTAGTTGGGGCACAGCATTCAATTTGGCTTTCTCTTGCCGCTCTTCTCCCCTATTTTTCGCTCACCCTTTTTCGTGCTGCACCCTAACTAACTGAATGCCGGGAAGAGGCTAGACATAGGAGAGTTGGATTTAAATTAATTTTTTAAATTAATGAATTAGATAAATTACTGAATTAATTAGATAAATTAAGGTAAGAAATACTTAAATCAATTAATTAAAGCAAAGTTATCATTTAAAAAGTTATATACAATAATTCTGGTTATAATCCCTCAAATATTTTTGCTCATGCTGATTGGTCTAAACGCATCATGTGACTGAATATTCTCCAGAAAAAACTGGGGAATATCCAAGTGATATTCCCCAATTTTCAAAACTGCGCGTGTTGTGAAAAATATTCAAAGAATAAGAAACACAGTTGCCTCCATTTTACACAAAAATATGCTTTGTTATTTGTCCTTGAACATTATCTGTTCCTCAAAGCTCACAGTTGACACAGTTTTCTCTGAAACCTGTTCACTTCTCTGAACAGAAAACGTCTGCAAACAAATATCCAAGTGTATTTCCATGTTAAATGGAGCCTATTGTTTATATAGCCATTTACTTGCCTTGTCTCTTATTTTGGGTAGATCATCAAATGTCAGACTCAATCGCTGTTCTGGTTTATCTCTTTTCTTTCCTTCTTTCACATACACGCTTGGAAGTTCAACTGGAAATGGTTTAATCCGCTGACTGACCCAACCATTTTTTTTCAGTGGGGGTCTGGGCTGTTCGCGCTTTCCTTGACGAGGCATCAGTAGCTGAGCTGCATGGCCCATGGCATGCTGCCAAACAGAAGTTAACACGATGATGTTACGTTAGTAATTAGGCACGGGTTGGCAATTTTCTGGGGCATGAAATTGTTTCCTCATCTTTAGGTTGTGCATGATTATTATTACTTTTTTTTGGTAGGCAATAGCTTGTTCAGCAGTTTTTGCTGTGTAAGAATTTTNGTCCATCCCGTACAGAGTCAATCATTTTTCAATTTATGAAATAACCCATTCATTGGTCAAAGCAGAATGCCTGGAAAGTAGGTAGCTGGTGGTAAGTGCGACAAAAGATATAGCCAGTGGGAAACATGGGAAAACGTGATCGATGGCCAACATAGAAAATTTAACTGCTGTGAAGCACAGGAAAATGGGTAGCCAGTGGCAAGTGGGGAAAACATAAGTGGAAAGCGGGGGGAAACCACCCTAGGGAGAAGCACAGGAACACATGTAACCGGTGGGAAGCACGGGAAAGGCCCTGTGAGCTAAAAGGAGATAGGTTTTCACTTTGCAGCTGATTGGCTGACAATATAGAGTCTTTCCTCTGATTGGTTAGAACAAGTAAGCATGAGTTTGTTCAGCAGAGAACTGCAACCTCGATCCCAGGCTCTCTCTCATTTGCCTTGTAACGGTTGAGAGAGAACTGAGTGATCAGTAAATAAGAACTGAAGATATGATTGTTCATATATATAATCTTTCATATATTCACTTATGCAATACGTAAGAACGTTAGTTCGTTTACAGGAAAGCTAGAATTCAAAGACATACCCTGTTTGGCAGTACAGGATTCTTGTTGCGAAGATTAGGATTGGAAGATGACGGGTTCATGTTCAGTCTACCGAACTTGAGTCGAATTTTTCCGCGCGTTTGAGACGTATCTGGCAAGGGGTTTGTTCCTTTAACACTTCCATGTGGAATAACAGGCTTAGGACGGCTTTGAGGACGCTTTTTCACCTAGAAAAGAAAGTTGAAACTCCATGAGGCGAAGGTCTGACGTGACGCTGAGAGGTACTCAAGTCACGCAACGCTTAGCGGCGTTTTTGGACAACCTCGTTCCCAGCTCTCTCTCCTTTGCCTCCCTTGTCGTTGAGGACAAAGACTGGTTGCGGCTGTCACGTGACCACCTGTGAATCAAACTTTTCCATCGGGGTAGACAAGGGAGGTAAAGGACAGAGCCTAAGAACGAGGTTGCGTATTCGCATTGTGAGTTGACTGCGAGTGTTATTTGTACAAAGTTCCTTACAAACCTATTTCCTAACTTTGTGTAAGAAGAATGAAGAACCTGATAATCGCTATTTCTCTTGCGATGCACCATGACGGTTTTTGTTTGATGTTGATGATCGAAGGCTGCTTTAGAAACTTCCCTTGATTCATTTCTCTTCCGTTTAGTTCTCATGCTTTCGATATTAGCAAAATAAACCAACCTTGCCAAACACTATGTGCAGAGGCTCGGCATACGGGGATTTGTTATCACCAGCCGCATGTCTGGCCTTAAGGCTCTCCATGTGCCTCCTCAGCTGGTTCTCTGTCAGGCCTATGACCCGGGCCCCTGCCGCATAGTGGCCCACAACATGAGGTGCTTGGATGCGCTTGTACTTGGTGTGATAAAAACTGCGGGGAGAAGCTTGATATCAATAAGAGCAAGAGAGGGCGGGATAAGGGTCAGCTGCATTTTGTTGTCTTGATTATCAACAGAATGATAGTCTAATGCATATTAGATGTTGCGCATGTTGTTCTTGGCAAAAGAGCGACAAGACAGTTAACTGATAGCCGTAGCTGGCGAGATTCGTGAGTGAGTGATTTTTGGTGGCGGAGCCGCCTTTTTATTCTCACGCGGGTGTAGCTCGCAAGCGGGGAAGCCTTGGATGAAATTCAACTCGACTCCTTACCAATACCCTCTCGGCTTCGCCACTCGCGTTCACGTACGATTTCGCCGTCAAAACAAAAGCATTCCTGCGCTAAATCCCGCCAGTTACGCAGGTTAGTTTACTGGTAAAACTAAAGCATGAGACTGAAGAGTATGGCGAGTAGGTTCCACTTACCCCACTATCTCGTTTATTGAATGGAGGGCGGATCTCTTCATAAATTGCGTCAGTGCTTCAAACAGAAGATGCTCTCTCTTCCTTTTTTCTCCAACGGTTGCTTGAAAAGATGCGAAATTTGGACGGTCAACGGAAAACAAAGTCCACTCACTAGTTTTTAAACAAGTTTTGATTTCAATTAATTCAACCGGGTAGTAATTGGAAGGTTTACGTCTACAAGGAACATTTTTGAGTACTAAAATGGACGATCCTTACCCAATCCTTCTAAAAACCGCTCCGTGTTGGTCATCAAGTTAAGAAACTCGTAGAAATCAATTTCACCATTTCCTGCGAACAAGAGGAAACGAATGGGATTATCTATCTATAGCTACACGGGAACATGGAGATCCGGGGCTGTCTCCGACAGAGATATGCAAATTCACAGAAGACTATATCCAAAGAGACTACCTGTGAGAGCAAGCTACCGTGGTAACCGGTCGCCGTTTCGCCCGATAGCCAGTTCGCCCGATGTCAGTTGTTCGCCCGGGCTGAAAGTACCTTCTCCCGAACTAAAAGTTCAAAGAGGGGATGTGTCAACTTTTCTTTCTTTAAACTAAATGAGCGAAAAAGACAACATTGTGGGCATAATGAAACAAAATTACACTTAAAACATGCCTATTTCTCGTTCTTTAATCTGCTGACCACGGAACTAACAGTCCGCCGGGCGAATCGACTATCATGCAGTCCGGGCGAACTGGATTCAGGCGAACTGACTTTCGCACGAAACGACCGTTAATTATCTACCGTAATGTTTTCTGACCGTTTCTTACGGGAGTGGTTTTTCACAAAGGAGAACTCAGTGCTCTTTGAGGACCACTATCCACTAGAGAGACCATTGGAAGGAGGGGCTCATTTAAACGAGCAAGTCTAGAGACAAGAGCAACCGATGCGAGGGGCTGCTCGCGCATCTACGATAAGTCACTTAATTAGTCAAGTGGACTCTATAATATGGTGCTGTCTACAATAGGGGTCCATATGAAATGAAACACTATTTATAAGGCAGCACAAGATTATCATTTTTATCGCGTTGGGAAAAAGTTTTTTACCGTCTTTATCCATGGCGCCCACTACTTCTTGTAAGTCTTCCTGTGATAGGTGAATATCCACAGATTTCAGCGCTAAATCCAGCTCCTCGGCGTCAATCGTTCCCCCGCCATTGCTGTCGAAGAGGTCAAACACTTCCCTAAAGGCTGGTGGGAAAATTAACGAACATGGTAAACCCAAGCTTGATAGTTTTAACTAGAAAGAAAACATCGATAACGTTCAGAAAAGTTGATCGAATCCGCCAGGAAGTTCTGGCCCACAAAACCAGCAACCAATTCCTGCCTTTTTATCGTAGAATTCTTAACACATAAGGGAAAAATTACTGCATTCTGATTGGCTTAAACAGTTAAAGTTTCCATTAGCCAGCTATTATACTGGACACGAAAACTCGTGCCCAAACCTATTCAGAGTCCGATACGAGTGTGCACATATTCTTGGTTCTCAGAATAAGCAGATCAGGAACCAAAACATGCCAAACTCAATCGTGATATCTTAATTTAGTATGTTTTTTTTGGCACACACTGATCAAACTAACCACGGAGCCAGCAGCTCGTCTAAGATTAATTTTTTTCAGTGAACAATAAAAGCTGGAAGAGAAAAAAAGCATGATAACGAAATGCGCGACAACGTAGATAAAGGGCACCAAGAAGATTGAGTGAGTGAATGTTTCGTGAAGTTTTCCTGCTACGCTGTAGCTGTAGTACTGCGTGAGCGTGCTATACTAGATGCAAAGGGAAATACGCGCGCACTGATTTACGGTATTTTTTTCATCAAAAAAACCCATGGTAAAATTTGCTCGTCAAGACGTGGATCATAGTTAGCTAACTATGCGTGGATAAAGTTATTTTAATACCTTGAACCTGAACTTCTGTCAAGTGTGAACAGGACGGGCTCCCGCTTTCAACGTCTTCTGCGTCGGATGGTAAAACAACTCCATGACTAGAAGGCACGATATCAAACACCCCCTCCTGTGAGTAATCTGGAGATGATAGTGTATCCGCCGGGCTGACATCGCCTTTTTTGCCCAAGGCAAAGGCATTGCGCCGGATTCTCCTCATTTTACGATTTCCCAACGAACTTTCATTTATGATTTCTTATCAACATATCTATACCCACTTCACCAAAGAACCATCACCTTAACTTACTAATTAGCTGAATAAGTCTGTGACGTCATAAAGCCGCGCGCTCTGGATTTTCTTGGCGAGAAAACAGGAAACCTCGTTCCCACGCTCTCTCTTCTCTGCCCCTCTTGGAGGCGGAGGAGAGATAGCCTGGGAACGAGATTGGAGAACAGGAACGTCTAACGACTGCGCACGCAGAAACTGGGTCGAGCGTTTTTTTTAACAAAGCACTTGCTAACGTGCCATCAAGCCAATCTTTTTCACGCTTTCGGGAAAAACGGTGACCCCGGAGAAGACTTTTAAGTCGCAGTTGATTTCCCTTTCGTAAACGGTCGAGGCCATTTTAACAGTTGATGCCATGATTGGTAACCAAGCTTTTCGTAATGGACGATGCCACACCTGCTCTACTGTAGTTTAGGCCTGGACTAGGCTGAAACTGGTTATAATTTGGTGATAGACTAATACGCACTCACCAAATGTTTTTTGTTCACTTTCACACTGGTTTGCTTGCGGTTAGGTTTTATTTGTTGGTTAGGGCAATACCAAGAAAGTGACCTGTTATAAATAGATGTTTTAGTGATTTGGCTGATCAACCTGGTGACCATGGCATGTGAGAAATTCTCGGTTCGATACTAGGTGGTGACTTACAACCTTTCCTTTTCTTTAATTTAATCAGGAGCCATAATCGGGGACGGAGACCGTAAGCG